TCCATTCTCATCTGCATCTCCCATAACACAAAACACGAGGACAGACGCATCGTAGGATGCAAACTGAAGTGCGTTGCTCTGGAAGTTCCAATTTTTAACTTTGGAGATGATCTCTTACAAGGTAAAACTTAAAAATGTTATGGAAACTATTCATTCAGCCAACCACTGATGAGATCGATCCTATGCCTGACCCTGAACTGAATGCTGGAGACCAAGAATCAAAACCCAATCCCCCTCTCAGGTGCTCCCTGCCTGGGAAGCCAAGAACACGAACAATTACAATCACGCACATGAACGGGGTGAACATGAAGGGTGTGGGAACACAGAGGAGGCATATAACTTAGAACTGGTGGGGCTAACAGTGAGGGCTTCCTGGAGGTGAGCCCTGATCTGAATTTTAAAGGTTGAGTGGGTGGGCAGAGGGCATGAAAACAAAGGTGATGAGTCAAGAAATAACTTGCTCTGGGTCCTGAACACTTCCCTTCATGCTTGAGCCCAGCATGCGAGATGACGTGATGCTGACAACCAAAGGCAGAAAAATCCACAAAACCTAGATTTCAGAGGCTCTGGGAAGAAGCTGGGGCTTGTGCTGAAGGCAGCACAGAGCCATCAAGATATCTTAGCAGAGTGACACAGTTAGATGTGTCCCTAATAGAATGATCTTCTGCAGGGAGGAGTGAGAGTGGAGGAACAGTCGGGAGCCAGGATACACAGTAACTGTATAGGCCCAGACCAGAGAGGCTACAGATTAAAATGCAGACAGATAAAGCGGGGTTGGGACAGGAAGGGATGGATGTGAAAAGCACCTACAGAGGATAAAATCAGCAGGTACGACCATTAATCTGTGTGAGCCGGAGAGACAGGCCACTGTGATTTCTGGCTTGGGTCACTGTGCAGTGCGCTAAGAGTGAGCAGAAGCACCAACTAAGTTTTTGAAGACCTGGAAAGCTTGTGAAAAGGACACCAGGCTCCAGGAAGAGTGAAGAAGAGAGAGTCAGGCCACGGTGCTGAAGGGTAAAGCCAGCAGGTGAAGCCTCTTTAACGGATGCCTCTGAAAGCTGGCAGAGGGCAGGCCATTCTGCCACCCTCAGCTCTGCCCACTGCCCTTGACCTCTTGTCCAACCAACCTGTCCGGGTCTGAGGTGGTTTCCCCTGGGCTCTGTAACTACTGAAAAACAACAGGATATAAATCCACAGATGAGCTGTCTCACTGCTCCAATGACAAAGGGACTTGAATGATTTACAGCCAGAATATTCTTTTCTCCATAATGGCTCCTGGAGTCGCCAGGAATAGTACATTTACAAAAATTAATGGCAAAACTTCATTTTTCTTTTTTCTGGGAAGAGAAGTTCCATCGTCAGGGTAATTGATCCTGATCTGGACGTGCCGGTGCGCCAGCTCGGGGTGTAAATCATTCACCCGAAACAACTCGCAGCCCTTTAAACCAACACCAACAGTGACAAATGGTCCAGGATGGGACAGGCAGAAAGTAACACGGAGAGGAGATCCATCAACATCCTCCCTGTTTCTCATCGGGGCACAGAGCATGGGATCCTTTCCTGGGGTCTCCCGTGGCAGAGTCGCTTTTCAGCAGGGTTGGATTGAAAGGGCAGCATGGTATCCAAATGAGAGCCGTAGAGCTGGACACACGGGGAAGCCCACCCTGGCCCTGGCAGCCCTGACTGCTGCCCTGGGCAGGGCACCTCACACCTCTGACCCTGCTGCGGTCGACATGAACACGAAAGAAGCAACATTTGCAAAGAGCTTAAGCACAGTGTGAGCCAACACATGTCTGTCCAGGGAATGAATGAATGAGTGAATGCCTGGACTGGGGACTTGAGAAATTCATATCCTATTCCTCCCAAGGATCTGAACTTTAAAAATGGAAGATGAAAAGGGGAATCTTTTACTCAAAGAAATGATTCCTAGTGGCGACCAGGAGCATGATGCCAACTGGCCTAAGAATCCTCCAAATCCCAGCACAGGGACTCTTATTTTGCCCGTGGAAGCTCTGAACGCCCACTACAGGGGACCATGTGAAATACACAAGCAGTGGCCTTGGAGGTACCTCTCCATTCGGTGTGAGCTCCTCAAGGCTGAGAGCGTGCCACGTTCCCTGCTGGGTCCCTAACATCTAGCACTGGGTTTGGTCCAGAGTAAAAGCCAGGGATACCTAGTGATCGCATGAATGAAAGAGGCAGAACCCTGACTGCCTTGCACAGAGAGAGCGGCCGCCCCCTTGTCTCACAGGCATGGGCTGGAGGAAGGCAAACTGAGGGCACAGACATGAACCTGGAGAGGTGAGAGGCTCTCTCCTGGGAAACCTGGAAGAGGACAGGATGCCTACCAATGGAAACAGGGCTCACCTGAAAAAGACTGTGCTCACAGAACTCTCCCACTGAGCTGTGTTGTGTCCGTGCTGTGAGCTTCTGCAAAAAGCAGGGATCTTATGATTCCCCTCCCCCTTCCAATATCCATCCCCATGCCTTGCCCATAGTCGATGTTGAATGAATAAATGAATAAACAAATTATATGAGAAAACACATCCTCTCTTCTCCCACTGGAAATATCCCAGGGCACAAAGGCACGGAGCGTACTTGAGGGAGACTCGGACACCTGCTGGTAGGACAGGGCTGTCAGCCCAGCTCTGTTCCTGAGCCCTGCTCATCCTCAGACTCACTGAGAAGATAACACGTGGCAGGACCACTGGAGAACACCAGCCCAGTGGGAAGGGTGGCCCCTAAAAGTTACATCCTCCCAGGACCAGCCAATATGGCCTTATCTGGAAAAAGGCTGTCTACAAATATGATTAAGGTAAGGATCCCAAGATGAAATCAAACTGGAAGTGGGCCCTCAATCCAACGACAGATGCCCTTACAAGAAAAAGGCAGAGGGGTGTGTGAGACACACGCGCACAGGAATGATGACAGGAGACGACAGAGGCAGAGCCTGGAGGGACCCGGCCATGAGCCGAAAGACGCCCGGAGTCACCAGGATTTGGACGGGCCAAGAAGAATCCTACCCTGGAACCTTCAGAGGGAGCACGGACCTGTCAACGTCTTGATTTCAGACTTGGCTTTCGGAACTGTGAAACAACACATTTCTCTCATTTTAAGTCACCCAGTTTTGGTAATTTGCGAAAGCAGCCCTAGAAAACTAATTTGCCGCCCAACCACAGACACACCAAGAGTAGCTCAGCCTTGGGAAAGTGACCCAGAATCTTGCAACCAGAAAGCAGAGAAAGGTGTGGGCCTAATTTCAGCATACATGCAAGTTTTTTGTTTTATAGTTTTGATTCATTTATGGGAGTTGCATCATAATCTTTTCAGTATTTTAGGGCCTTTAAAGATCTTAACCTGTCCCTGGGAATGGGGGTAGGATAAGGAAAGTGAGAAGAGAGAGGAGGAGAGGAGAGACGAGGGGGAGAAAGAAAGAGTAGAGGAGACAGGAAGAAAACCACTATGTGATCTGACCAGAATGCCTGGGTGTCCGGCCAGCTAAAGAAGACATCAGAGGAGAAAGGCTGGGGATGTTCTCTTGCTCCAGCCGGAGCTGGCAGGAGGGGAACTCAGCTGCATGAGAAGCAGGGCTGTGAATGAGGAAGGCATCCTGTCAGTTGGAAGACAGAGCCTTTCTCTCTCCCAGGGCCACGAGGGGAGGAAGAACTGCCAGTCATCGGGCTTGCGTCTTGTCTGGGAACCTGGCTCTCTGTGCGGAGCCCCCACCCCCCACACACACACACAGCAGCCGCACTGCTGGCTTGTCAAGGACAAAGCTGATGGGAATGACACTGGCCGTGGGAGGCAGTGGCCCGAAAAATATACTTGCTGCAGGAGGACAAGGTGGTGAGACCTGTCACAAAACCCGAGTGGACAGGGCAGGAAGGGGATGACGACTGTGATTTTAAAGGCCTCTGGGTCACACCACAGCACGCTGTGGGTCATCTCAGAGAAGGCTCTCGGGTGGCAGGTGAAGTGGGGGCCAGATGCCTCCCGGGTTACAGAAGCAGGAATCTGGAGTCTCAGGGACATATGGACACATGGGGGAAAGGAGGAGAAGGCTCTCTCAGATGCTGTGATCCCTGTAGGAAACTCTTCTCAGAAAAATACACTGAACTGTGGAAAAACTTTCCCAATGGAAGGAAACAAATTTGAACACGTACCTTGGACCACACCAGGGGGCAAAGCACGGCTCAGGGAATCAAAGCAGGGACTACAGAGTTGGACAGTCCTGGGTTCAAAGCCTTACTTGCATGTGGTCCTGGGCAAGCGAATGTACCCCTCTGGGCCTCAGTTTGGCACATGGGTGTCCCCCTGCCTTAGTTTCCCCATCTGGCAACGGCACACGAATAGCATCGACCTCACAGCACTGATACAAAGATTTAAATGAGAACGTTTAACCCGGAATCTGGCACGGAGCAAGTGCTTAATGAACGGGGGCCTAGATGACCGTTCTGATCTTTTCTCATTGTGGTTGCTGCTAACAGCCCAGGAACAGCTCTGTCAGTTACTGGGTCAGACCTGTGACCTCAGACATATGACGTTAGACAAGTTCTCTCACCTCTTTGAAGTCTCCGTTTCCTCATCTATAAAAATAGTATGGCAATTCTAACTTCACAGGGTTGTTACCACAGTTATATGATATTATGGGTGTTAAGACTACGTGCAAGGGAGACGTTTAATAAACACCGCCTCTCTCCTCTTCGCAGGAGGCCGCCCCGACCTCCAGGGGAGCACGTCTGTGCGGTGGGAAGAGAAAGCCCAGAGGCTGAGACTCAGGCACTCGGAAGGCCTTCAGCAGGAATGAATGCCATTGGCTCACTTGGGACCCGCCCCCAGAGCTTGCAGCCAATGGCAACATCGCCTCTCCCATCCCTCCCTCCGGCCTAACCCAGAAGCCTGCAAGACCTGCCCCCGGCTCCCACCTGAATGGCGGAAGGCGGGACAGCCCTTCCACCTAGACCCTCAACTCAGGGCGCGCAGGCGCGGCCCGCACTCACCAGCTCCACGCACCGCCGGCTGGCCTCGGCCTCCCGTTGCACCAGCTCCTCCATGTCCGCCTTCAGCTCCTCCAGGCGTCGCTGGTAATACTGGCTGCTCTCCCGCTGCTGGGACTCGGACGTGGCCGCCTGCGAGAGCTCTTCGCCCATCTTGATCAGGCTGTCCCGAAGCCGGATCACCAGAACCTGGAGTGGGCCGACAGCACACGCCCACCCTAAAGTTAGAGGTCTGAGGCACGAAATAGGGGCTACAGAAAGTGAAATCCTTTGCCGAGTTTCTGAGCGTTTGTTACAAAAAAGAAGAAAACGTAGAAAATGATAGCTGTTATTCTTGAAGGCAGCGCAGCGTATTCTGGGTTCAAATCCTACCTCTACTTCTTCCTGGCTGTGTGACCCTGGGTAGGTTATTTAACCTCTCTGAGAGAAAGGGATGCTGTCAGGATTGAACACGTTAAGTTATGCAGAAGGCTTAGTTCAGTGTCTCACGCAGGGTATGTGCTGGGTAAGGGTTTGGAATTCATATTTACAGCAGGCTTCATTCAGCTCCACGTTTGGGAGGTGGAGTGTTGCCGTGGAGAGAACACTACGCCGGGGGACCCAAACCCCTTCCCAAACATGTGTTTTGGTTTCCTGATTTGTACAACGAGGTTTGAGCAGGTAATCTCTCATGAGCCTCAGCTGTAATACTTTACAGCATTTTTCTTTTTGTGTGTGTGGGGGGAAAGTCCATGAGGACCCAGTGAAACTATGAATAGAAAGAAGAGCTGTGGGCATCACCAGTGCTACGGAAAACAAACCCAAGGGCCGCTCTGCACAATTCATTAGTTGGCCAACAAGCCTGGAACCAATGAATTCTGATGGGCAAATATGCAAGTGTTGACATAAAACTGAACCCACATGAATATTTCAGGCCTCTGCTAAGGACTCTGAGCCCCTTTCCAGATCAGAGACCGAATAATGGCCTAAAAGAAAAGCTTTACGATTTGTTTCCTCTTCCCTTTCCAAATGGAGTTTAGCAACAATGTCAAAGGGCAGCAGGAGGGTTACAAGAAGAGCAGTTCTCCAGGGCCTGAGATACCACTAACTTCCAGTAACGATGGCAGAGGGGAAAAGGGAATCTGGAGATGGAGTCTGCCATAAGTCATTCTATCATTGTTTTCTTTTCTTCTCTATCACTTGACCATGCTAGAATCAAGCCAAAAAATGATATATGATATAGCTCAGTATCCCACACTTAGTCAATTAAAATGCAGTGGATCACAGTTCCATGGTGATCTGCAGAGACAATTATGCCTTGAGGGATCCCTTGAGCCATTCCGAGAATCACTGAGGGTCAAAGCAAAGAAGAATTTTTCCGTTCTTTGTCCAGCCTTCTTAGAGACCAAATGCCCAACAGGGGGTTGGGAGAAAATGTTTCAGAATAAGGGGTGCAGCCTCCCAGTGTCCAGACACACCACCACACTGTGGGGTAAGCTGGCTGGCTGCAGAGAGAGTAGAACCTGGACCAGGATGGAGTCAAGGTCAAGAGTCAATCTCCTCC